CTAAATTGTGGCTTTCATTCCATAATCTACAAAATAACTAATTTCACAATAAAGGCTTTCAGTGCAGAGAGCAATGAATCCCCTCACTAGGAGCTACTTGCTCTGACTTTTTAACAACTGGTGCTTGAGGCTTTTTCATATTTTCATCATCTAATCATAGTTTATCAGATTGGGGGCCACTGTTGTTTGGGTGGAGCCCTGTTGGCACGAGAACTTGGCTGCTAACCAAAAGGTTGGCAGTTTGAATCCACCAGCTGCTCCTTGGAAACCCCGTGGGGCAGTTATACTCTGTCCTGTAAGGTCACTGTGAGTCAGAATCAACTCCCCAGGAACCAGTTTTATTGTTTTGGTTTGGCGCTTCATTTGTATTGCCAATATCCCCCCTTCCTTAAGTAGAAAGGGGCCAAGGAAAATCCATTCTCCATTCTTTAATAACCCATGAGCCTCAAAAGCAGAAACCCAATGTGTCCAGTGCCATATGCTATATTCTTATTTCCAAGGGTTTGTATATCAAAAGGGAATCAGCATCTTTATGAATTCATCAGCTTTAGGGGCATTCGATAGAGAAACTTATATTGTTCCATGATACCTTCCCCCAAACTGCATTTAGTACCTGAAGTTAGTGATTTTCTATTAATTACGTGGCTCTAGCAATTTGAGCAATGTTAATCCATGCCGCAGTCCATCATTTCCTTCATTTTAAGTTAATAGAAGTACAACCTCATGGAACAGCAAAGGTCTTTACCCTTTCTCCATCCTAATGTTCATTAAGCAATCCTTTTCAGCATATCAGCCATTGCTTTTCTCACCTCTTGAACCTATTAAGCAATACTTTCATAGAAGAGCATAGCTCTTGTGCATCACAGATATAACATTTACAATTTTAATATTGAAAATATAAACCTGATCACTGGACGTGGCTAATTCTATTTATATTATATTTTGCAATTTACTGGAAAAATTGTAAATTGTATTATGTGATGCTACGGTCTAGGGTGTCCTAAAATTAGAGTTGTTTAAAATGCTGAAGTACTTTTCATAGAGTAATTTTTAAAATGCCTAGAAATTTTATGCTAAGAAGAATAGGGGGCACGAACAATTCTGACCTCTTACAAATTGTCTTTTTATAGAAGCAACTGAACTTGAAACTTTTTTGAGTAATAGCATGAAATCACATATATATTTAGCAAACACAATTTTAAAACTAATAGTAGCAAAAAAACCTACCAAAGTGCTGAAGAAATAAGCTAACTGGAATGCCCAATGCGTTTCATTGATTCCATGCCCTCTAAAATGAGGCCGAGGTCTATGAGGCACTGAGATCATTCTGAAGGACCAGTTAGACGGCTGCTCTAACTGCGTGTTTGCCATAAGAGATGCAGAGAAATACAGGGAATAAGATCAATTATGCCAGATATGGAAAGTGGACCAGATGTGTTCTGATGAATAAGCTACTTTTAAGGTGTATATGAGTCACCAGGCTGTCTGAGCTCACAAGGGAAGTACTTAGTGCTCTTAAATAGTGATTTAAGAAATGAATTCCCAGAGACCTATTTAGAGTTCTCTTCCAGGATAATCTGACTTCCTATTCTTGTGTCAATAGCACGTTCATGTTCAAACCCATAGTTTGCCTTTGAGGAAGACTTAGAGTTTTACCTCCTGTGTTCAGATCTGCCTGATGTCTCATAAAGAGGCCAAGAGGAGGCTCCACAAAGTCAAAGTTACCAAGGGGTAATTCATCACCATCTGGCTTATTCAGTGATAGCCCAAGCAAAAATGTAATAATGTAGAACATATTTTAGGAGAAGATATATATATTTTTTTTTACTAATTGACATGCATTACGTAAATAAGGCCACTGTTATGTCATATTTTTGTAATAAATGAAATTACTAATTCAGAACATACATCGAAATGTATCATTTGTTTAAGGATATAGACTGAATATTGTCTGAAAATAAATATATAAGTAAAAATAAAAATTCATTGTTGTGTTAATCAGCTAAATATATGATTTAAGTGTTTCCGTTAGACTTCCCTGGGGAAATTTTAGGTTTGTATGTGTTGTAGCTACACACATGGGACACAATGCCTGTAATATTGGAGATGGTCGATAAATCCCAATCCCTTCTCTCATTCTCTTTTTAATGTGTGTAAATTTGGTCAGATATCAAACCCATTTTTAAGACAGCAGAGATCATACTTTGTTGTAGATTTTATATTTTACATGTTTGTTGTAAATACGTAGCTTCTGCACTGTTTTAACACATATAGCTCTGAGATATGATTATCCATTGCTAATCCTGCAGGGCACAGGGCTTTGTAGAAAAGTAGAAAATAAATTTTGCAGATGAGAAAACTCATCAGTACCATATAGGCAAAGTTAGTGTCATAAACAAACTAAGCTATACATGAACTAATTTCTAAATTAATTCAGAAAAGTATAATTAACTGCATTTGAAATCCCCTCCCCATTGCTCCCTGCCCCTGAGCCAGTCTTCATGCACTACATTTCCCTCCTTTATACCCTAGCATAACCTCCATGTGGCGCCCACCATGTGATGAATCACACCCCACATTAATTATGCCTCATAATGTTTCTGTGTTACAAGCTGATTTTTCACATTTGTCTATTAGCGTCACAATTGTTGGTTGGTTGCCAGTTTCTTAAATGGAACAGAAAGAAAAACTGCTAGCATTTAATCTTGAAGTTAAATCCCTGAGTATTCCCAGAGTATGTGAACTCTCCAAAGAAAATCTTATATCAATAAAAATTTTAACAAAACACTTAACAGTTATAACTTTGTTTATATTAAATGCTGCCATTTTCTAGCTAAATGAGACCACTTTCCTCTTCCTTTCTTTCTAAATCTAGTTACTTAAGTGATTGCGATGTCATTAATCCTTCAGTCTCATAGCATCATTTTTGCCCACTACCCAGTAACCTTATTTCTTCCTTGCCATCAAGGACAATGTCAAGCCCTCACACTGCTTATTTGGAGAAGAGGAAGAATAATTTTCTCTCAATAAACAAAAAGTGAACTTTAATCCTTATATTTAATGTTTAAGACTATTTCTTACATTGGGTATGCTTCCAGATTAGAATTGGTCTTTGCCACAATCCCATCAACTGATTATGAGAAGATAAATTAAGTATGTCTGCTTTAATATTTATTCATAAATCAGGAAGCTGAATTTGGAGCTATTTAAACTGTGATGTCCACTTTTTCTTCTCCTTTCAGGTCCAAAAGCAATTACATCCCACCTAATTGACACAATCTGTTATCATACTGCATTTCATTACCAAGCTAGCTCCCCAATATCACATATACCTTTCTGTAGTGAATGTGACAATTTGTCTCAAACAGATTCTTGTTCACGTATGTTGGACACGAGTTCATTTTAAGACACACAGATTTATCATTTAAAAAATTCCATTTCCAGCTAAAGAACTTCATGAAGAGCTATGATGGGGTGGCCACTGCTTCTTTCTCACGAGCTGTGGAAACTGTCGAAGCCAATGTGCGCTGGAAAATGCTTTACCAAGACGAGCTTTTCCAATGGCTAGGAAAAGCTTTGAGACACTAAGATGTGTCTCCTGTAAAGAACTCAGCTGGGAATTTCTGAGAAGACCTGCATGATGTGAAATGAGGAAAATATGCTACATGAAAAATGGCCAGAATTTCACAGTGTTAACGTGTGGGAGGAATTTGTTGTTGTTGTTGTTTTGTTTTGTTTGTTTTTGTTTTGGGGGATATTTTTGTTTCATTCATTCTTTTTTGTTTTTCTACTGGGCATTCTTCTCTAAAGAAGTTTTTGCAAGTGGACCTAGCCATGGTTGCTTTAGCTGTACATTCCTCGCTGTGCAGGACCAAATATGATAGTGGTGCATGTTGATGTTACAGTCATTTTGGGAAAACATATTCAGAATATTTCGTGCATGGTTGTATGGTCCTGCCTGTGTTCCAGCATGCTTATTTAAAATGTCAGCGTTGTATGTGAATATATGTTACACCTAGAATGGGCATTATGCAAAAGCACAAAGATTATCTATGACAATCAGTGTTGCAATGAAAGAAACACTTGTTAAAAAGGTAATTGTATCCTCAGTTCTGGGAAATGTGAGAAGTACAATAGCCCTTTAAGGTATTAATGTCACTGATTTTAGCACTTGGATTGTCTGTCAATGATTATTGTGCTGCTAACTCATTTTCTTTTGAGTTAAAGCTGAGTATTCTTTTAAAAAGGCATATAGTGTATGCATATGTATATGTACATAGGGAACCCCCAAATGTGTATAGTATGTTGTACACTGCACATGTGCAAAGAATCACTTCAGATCAAAGAAAATTTATCTCTTTTTAGAAATGTATGCAAACTTTGAAAGGCTTAAAATAATTTATCTTAACACTATCCTTCCTGAAAATTTCCTGGTTAATTTCTCAACTGGTGTGAGTTTTTGTCTACTTCCTGAACAATGGTCTATTCTACTATGTGAAGATGAATTCCAACAAAATTTATGTATAAACTAAACACCTTTCTAATCCTCTTAAGTAACTGACAGGCTTGCATCCTAAATATGAAGTCTGTCATGATTTTGGCCAAACTTTGTATCACATAAAACAGTTCTGTAAACATACAATTATCAGTGTTGAGAAAGTGTTTGTTTTCCATCTAGCTTGTTTTCTCATCTCACGTTGCATTGTCCAGAGAGTTAAAAACTTTCCTCTGTGCTGGTCTTTGTGTCTGTCACTCTAATCCTCCATTAAGCAACCATACCTCAAGTGGGTCTATTAGTATTTAATGACCTTTTAAGTCCAGTTTTGTGCCATCCGTTAAAATGGAAAGTGTCTTTTTTTGCGTTATTGTGCAAAGCTTTTCTTTCGGCGTTGACAACTATGATCTACCTGGGAATTTTGAATAGCCCTTTTCATGACTGTGTGTTAAATAGCACAAGTGCTTTTGAAATGGTATTCTCACCCAGTAGGCCAGCTCTCCAAAGGTTCCTTAAATGTTCAAAAATTAGTATATTTTTATTTTGCCATTACAAAATACCAATACAACTACTGTACGTAAGTCATAAGTACATAACTTCCTATTTCCTTGTATTTTCCACTCTTAAACATATCCTTGCAAATCACTGAAAGAAACACACTCTAACTCCAATATATCACTGAATACTGAAAAAATATTTAGACATTTTAGAAACTGGAGCCACATATTTATTAAATTTGTAGGAAAAAGAAGCAATTCTTTAATTCACATAACAAGTATTACCTAAAATTGAATCATACACATTAGCAATTAATACCTATTTTACTCAGACCTGAATTTTTCAGCACTTCATTTAATTTAGACACATGGATTTTAAATGCTCCATGTGGTGTTAACAAGGCATGATAACGCTTACTATAAAATCTAAAATTTACTTCACTATCAAAAGTGATGAATTTCAATTACCACACAACATATTTATAAAATCCTTAACGTATAACTTCTGAAACAAAATAATAATCAATATCATACTGCCATGTAAGTTCCAAATATGTACTGTATCACCATTGGATTCATGCAATGGAGAAGATGAAAAATTAGAGGTGGATGTCTTATTTTACATCATGAATTACTAAAAAAACTTTAGTGGTTATGGTATTCTTTTGATTGAAATCACCATTTCCATCTTTGAGTTAGAAGGGCCTTTGTAGTTCTTTTTTCCTCTCCACTGTTAATAATCTTAACTCCTCTCTGATTATTTTAGTGGCTTTCAACAACTGGTTTAGCTACAATGTAAAGTCCTAAGTGTGTAATTATGTGCAATGTTCAATACCTCATATAATACTTACTCCGCAGTAAAGTGGTATCAATGGCATTGATATGGCATTTTTGTTTTACGTATTTTTCGATAATTTATCCTTTCCAATGTTGAAAATTGGAAATGTATAATTGTCTAAGTAATATTTTCAAAATAATAAAATGACCAATGATATCTCTTGGAATACTTTGTAAAATGTGGTTATAAAATTCTATTTTCTACATAGAGTTTTTATCTTTTTTTCTCTTCTTTGCTTATTTTACAAATCATATGCATGAAATCACAAATTGTTTGAAATTGTTCAAACATCTAGGCTTAAAAAAATGTTGCAAAAAATGTATAACAGCAAAACTTGGTTTCAATTAAAAAGAACTAAATTAGTTACCACACTGGGTAGTAAACGTCTCTAGCTACCTTGTAAATAAAATGTTTTTTTTTCAATTTTTACAAAGTGACTCTTTCCCTAAAATTTTGCTTATAGTCTTTGAGATTTTTAAAATACACAAGTATCTATAATGCAGGGTCTGTTCTAGAATTTCAGTAACATGGATTTTAGCTGGAGCTTAAACTCACTTTAATTAATATTCTATCTAAGATTTTTGTGGTAAAATAATTTACAAATATAACAACTATAATATTTTACAAGATTATTCAGGTGATGCTATGTATTTGTGAAATGCATTTCATCTTCAAAGGACGTTTACATCTGCTGTTTTATTTGACTCCTTACAATAACATAACAAATTTTATTAACCTTGATATTCTGATGAGGATACTGAAGCTCAGAGTAACAATATGATCTATTTAATATTCCCAAAACGAAAAACCAAACTTGTTGTCGTCGAGACGATTTCGACTCATAGCAACCCTATAGGACGAGTAGAACTGCCCGTAGGGTCGCCAAGGAGTGGCTGGTGGATTCGACCAGCCAACCTTTTGGTTAGCAGCCTGACCTCTTAACTACTGCACCACCAGGGTTTCCAATTTAATATTAGATAGTTGTTATTTCAGCTATAGATATAATTATCTAAGAATCTTGGTACATCCCTTCTAAAATTAAAATATAAAAATATATTGAAAATACCTCTATCCATTGCATTAGCTGGATATTTTCCAACCATTGGAAACAGCATTGACATCATTGATTAAATATATCTACGGTAATTATATATTTTTTTAAAGTCTGTGTTTCTAATTTGCATGATGTCAAACTGGGTGAAAATTTAAATCAGCGTTTACTATGGTCAGCATAAGTATAACTGTTTGCACCACCCAGGAACTACCTTAGTTCTTTTTTATCTTTTCTTTAACATTGTTTAATCAAGACTTTAAAATACCAATAATTCGCTTTACTCACAAAAATTTATTTGATCAACTCTATCGGTAGTAACAGATGGTCAGACCACAAATAGAATGGTATCCATCGAAATCAGTGAAAGTAATATTCTGTAAAAATGTTGGCAAAACGTTTATTATCTATGCAGACTCAGTTGTGAAAATGCATTTGTAATACCGGATTAGATACAGTAAAGGAATTGCTACTTGGTGTCGTTAGCTGCCGTCTAGTCAGTCTGACACTCCATGCTGCACCATAGTGTTTTCTTGGTGATAATCTTTAAGGAAGCAGTTCTCCAGGCCTTTTCTTCTGCAGAGCCACTATGTGGGTTTGAACTGCCAACCTTTGGGTTAGTAATTGTTCACAAACCACTTGTGCCACCCAGGCTCCTTGGAATTGCTATAGAAGTTTACAATAATATATTTAATTAAAATCTACTGGCTATTAATATTTTAAGGGATTTTTTTCTAAGACGTTGGAAAACATAAAATACCTAATTCTATAAGGTAATCACTTATACCTATTAAATAAACAGTAAAAGCTCATAAAATGAGAAGTTAAGATTTCCACATCTAGTTTTCCTTTGTCAGCGAATGTAGCTGAATTGTTACCATTTGACACTGCAAGTTATATAGTGGCCAAATTCAGTTTAAACAAAATATTTATTGATCACCTTTTATTTTATAAGGCACCTTGTGAGGAGCAAGGAAGGCCAAAATGAATAAAGCCTGAAGGAATTCACATCACATCATATGAAAAAGACATAAAGAAATAACAAACCATTCAGAAGGATGAGGACAACGTGAAAAATAATGGCATGCTACAAGGGAGGAAGAATGTCATTTTTAGGCATAGATAAAATTATGTAATTTGTACACTAGTTCTCAAAACTTTTATGGTACTTCAGTATTATTTTCATGGTTTGGTTTCATAGCATTTAATTGTGTTTTAAGGGAATATGTAACATTTTCAAAGTATAATAAAATCAAATAGTTTGAAATAATTGGAATATAAATTGGATTAGAATTTATCATTGAGACAAAAAGCTGTTTGATCAACCTTAGTAATATCAGTAAAGTTTCAGGAAGAATTTTTAACCTACTGATGAAAAAACTGTTTTAAAATAGAATTCGTATATTCACAATGTGTTAATTTTTAGTTAATTGTGTTTTCTTTTAATTAGGTTCAATCATACTTATCCTAGGCAATGATTTATTTGTTCAAATTATTATATGTGAACTTGAGTGCAAAAAATATTCTCATAAAATATTCTAGAATTCCAAATTTTAATTATATAAGAGTGGCCTGTTCAATTGCTTCAAATTAACATGAACTTTTTTAGGAAATATTTTGTTTAATGTAGTGTAGATTCAGGACAAGTCTAACGAAAGTGTACGCTAGTAGCTTTTATTTTCAACTTTATTTTATGAAATTTTGTTTGAAGGTTTAGATAATGAAAATTTTAAGTATTTTAAATATTAAAAATAAATGGTGAAAATATATACTATAATTTTAAATATATTACATATATGTGATGAAGATCAAAGAATACAGCCTTCAGTATAGATTACACTCAACATAAAGGAAACAAAAACCCTCACAACTGGACCAATAAGCAACAACATCATGATAAACAGAGAAAAAAGATTGAAGTTGTCGATTTCAGTTTACGTGGATCCACTATCAACACCCATGGAAGCAGCCGTCAAGAAGTCAAAAGACACATTCCAGAATGCTCTTAGAAGTAAGGATGGTGAGACTACGTCTCACATACTTTGGACATCATGTTTGGTAAAGGACTGGCAAAAAAGAGGAATACCCTCAAGAAAATGGATTAACACAGTGGCTGCAACAATGGGTTCAAGCATAACAATGATTGTGAGCATGGCACAGGACTGGGCAGTGTTTTGTTCTGTTGTGCCTAGGGTCGCTATGAGTTGGAACCGACTTGACGCCACCTGACAACAACATATGTGTTATTACATGCACTTCATTTTTTAAATAAGATTCTTCACATACTGGCTCTGTTTTACAAATCTGACTTCTTATTTTGACTCATCTTTCCAGTTATTGCACTATTAAATCCCAGTGTATAGTTAGTTGAAACAGGATAGTTCATATCAAAAGGTGGAATTTCTATAGAATTCTTACCCTAAAGAGCTTGAATTTTCCTGTTAGGATCATGCAAGCAAGTAACAAACTTTTCAGTAACATTTGTCTAATACATTGAATGGCTTATCTTTTCAATTATTTTGAACATGGAACGTCCAATATATAGAATGTTGTATGTTAGTCATATTGCATAAGTATATAATTTTTATTACATTTTTGCTTCTTTACTTATATTTTAAAATTTTGCTTCTGGTATTTTTGACCAGTTCAA